CTACTAAACTTTTAGTTTTATACCACAAGTAAAACTTTTCTTTAATAAAAACAATATTTTAGTTGCAAAATGTATATTAGACTAACTACTTTTAGAGCTTAAGAGAAAAATTAAGGGTCATTTAGCACACAAAACTAGCTATATGAAAATTTAAGGATTTTCCATAATTTGAATCACTTAACTGGTTATTTTTAATAAAAAATTGCTAAATTGAAGTAAATGCATAAGTAGGGGAATACAATTAGAGTTTTAACTTCATGGGTTCTTCAAACCCTTTTAATTGTAGGTCAGAAAAGTAGATATTTAGAACTTTATTGCTGTAAAATACTTGACAACAGCTAAGCATTGCATTTCTTTACACTTTAAAAATTTTTGCAGCACATTTTATTTTTTACTCCATTGATACTGATCTATAAATAACAAACACCTATTACATAAACATACACATATCCTTCCAAAACCTGAATGGTCCTAGGATAAGAATCTCTGAAGTACTTGCTCACCAAATTTTGTAATCTTCACTCTTAAATGTGATATCTTGTTTTATTTGTTACTGTGAATAGTAACCATATTTTGTGTAGATCTTTCCTGTAAGATCCACAGCCATCACTGCCCACCATGGAAGTAGTCAGTCAGTGAACCACCTCTCAATTAGGGAGATGTCTGAGATGAATGCCCTGTTCAACTGGAGACAGTAGTCACTGTGGTCATGATTTTAACTAGTAAGAAACAATTCTTCAAAATATTGGAAGTATTTAAGAAGCTACATTATTGTATATTAATTGAGCTTTGTCTATTAAGTGAATTACAGTTGTGGGAATTACTGTTCATTACTTTAAATGAACTTTATGTTATTAAACTTTATAATAATAACAGTGAAGATTCGTATTTTATTTATTTACCAATTAACTTTGTAGAAAACGGGAAAGGTGGGGAATATATATCACACCTTTTTACTTTCTGTTGTCAGTTTTTCTGTATTAGAAAGTTCCAGATAAAGTATCAAAGCTTTTCTCACCTCTTTCGATTGCTTTGCCTTCAAAGGTAGATTTGAACCCACAGCTTTGCTGTAACTCATAATTCTGGAAATGCTCTACACTCTTAATGCCACTGGTACAGGGATGTAATTCTCGGCAAAATTACATCCTAAGGTAAAAGTTTTAACTGGTGAGGTAGATGGGGTGAGAAAATAAGGTGCACGAGGGGAAGGTAGGAAATGATGGGCCAGAGTCGTCTTCTCAAAAGGATCTTTTATCAGGAGAATGCAGATAAACGCCATCATGCACTTGATGAAATGACTAATGTAAAATAACTAACAGTCTATAAAAAATTAAAATGTGCTTACAGGTAAATGTGGCTACAATAAAGGCAAATGCAGTCGCAAAGAAAGGGGAAAAAAGAACTCCAATCTATTCCAAATAGGACAGGAAATACTTAGCACTGAATGAGTGGGAACATTGGCTCCGCTGTAGAATTTGGTAAATTTAATACATTTGCTGTTTGCTTTCTACTCAGTCAGGTGTCCAGTGTTAATTTACATGCTGTCCTACAAAATTGTCACACATAGCCTGCTTTTAGTAGCTTTGGGGGACATTAGTCTCTTGTGACAGTACAATATGAACTCGTGTCTTAGATCTCGGTTTCACAAAGTGTGCACATTTGGAAATCAAGGGAAGAGAATTGTTTATTTTCGTCTGAAGAAAGGCCTAAAGAAAACTGTCAGCAGAAGTCGGGTCCATTTAATTTAAAGTGTTTTTTTTCTGTCTGTTTCTGTTATTCACATGAACCTAACCTAGTATAGTTTAAGATCCATATAAAAGACCTGGGAGTTCAAGGAGAAATCTGTGGCTCTTAAATGTATGCCACACAAGATTTGAGTGATGTCCTTAAACAGACTGTATGATTGATGTTCCATTTGTATTAGGATAGTTTTTACACATGCACAAATGCACACATCACAGATGTCTAAGCGTGTTTCAAATCCACATTAAGACCTGCTAGAAAAAAAAAAATAGACAAAGATTGAAGAAGGTAGTAAATGTTGCTGTCTTTAATCATGCCTTCTATGCCTTTGTCTGCAGAGAGCTGAGGTGTGTGCTGCTCGTCAGTGCTATTGTCATCAGTTTTCTTGCTATGTCCACATAAAGACACACAGCTAAGTTAAACATGTTTAAAGTACAATATATCGAGAGCCAATCAGTACAAAATGAATGCTTCTGCTTTTTTGCTTTGAGTTCTCCTTTATCACTGTTTAATAGTCTTTAGTTTTGTAGTGAAATGTGCCTAGAATGTATGTTATCATAAGCAGTCACGATGAACTTGGGGTGAGGTTTGAAATGAATAAAGTCATGTGATGGAAGTAAAAGTTGTAGTCTCTGGCCCCTACCGGCCTTTAATATCTAACATGACGAGACACAGACATCTGAAAAGTTAATTCACAGTGAAAGGAAATTGCCAGTGAGGGAAGGTTTTGATCATCCATTCTCTTGGTTGAATTCCTATCATTTTGCTGTTCCTAGTACACAGAGCTAAATGGCACTTGTTATATACATATTTGCTTTCCCCAAAAGGCAGCTAGTTCTTTGATTCAGTCAGGACTTCCTGTTTCATCTCAAGTAAGTAAAACTATGCCTAACTTACAGTAAATACTTGTTTAGTTAAATCAAGTTGGATAGTAGGTCCTTTTCTGGTACCAAGTTTCATCTTTTCTAACATTTACCTACTTTTATAAGTGCAATTCATAATAACAGATGCATTTTGAACAACATTTTTACTTTGAAAGTATTTTTTTTTCTATTTTATTTCGTGTTGTGTTAAATCTGTTTTGTTGAACCAGTTTATGTCAGATAGTAAGTATACGGCCATTTGTAGCACTTTGCCTTTCAAGAACTGTTTTCACACCCACGTGTGCAGAAAAAAGTCTTTCCTGGTCTAGGAGGTAAGAAAGCAGAGAAGTTGTACACTGACATAATAACCGAGAAAGAACCTTTACCTGAGAGGGCAAGGGGGTAACTGGAGTGATTTGCGTACAGCCACCGGTTAGGGCCCACAAGCTTATTGGTGCCCATGCGGTAGGTAGTGGTACTTGTCTGACTAGAAGTCTGAAGCTTCTTCACAGAGCTCCTTTTTCATGGTTAAATAACCCTCTCTTCACAGAAAATAGGAAGTAAGCAGATAATAAAAATGTAAGTAAGATTTAAATAACCAGGGAGGGTCTCTAACCTCTCAGAGGGTGTGATTCTTAAAGCAGGCCCTTGTAATGTCTTTGTCTTGCTTTAGAAGACTAATGCTGACCTCAGAATTAGTTGATAAATCTTCCCATCCCTTCTGCTTTCTGGAAGTGTGTAGAACAGGTCTGAAAACCTCTTGAGGTCATCTATAGAGTCTGGTGCTGGCATTTACAGGTCTGAAGACCTCGTGAGGTCATCTTTTGAGCCTGGTGCTGGCATTTAAAGTCTGTTCTATGGTGTGTACTCAACAACAAAATCATCCAACTACAAAACACATTTTTCAGGGAATATCCTCATAATCTATGTTTGGCTGAGTTGGCTTAAACAAACAGACTGTTGGAAGTCACTCTTTTCAACTGCATTGTAGTCTTAACTTACAAAGGGGTTGTTTTATCATCCGTTAACTCAGAAGAGAAAATTAATTTCTGGTAAAACTCAGAGACTGTATATTTGTACTGTATGCTTGGGGTTAAGTGCTTTGCTTGGTTCATCTAGTTTAATCCCCACAGTAGTTCTGTGAAAGCTAAGTACTTTGAACTCTCCATTTAAATTATGAAAACTCATACACACAGAACATAAGTAACTTGCCTAGTGTTTAGTGGTGAGGAAGCATATATTCTTAACCCATACGTCATACTGTAGGAAGAGGTAAAGAAGAAAAATATGATTTCTGCTCCTGGAATTTGCATCCCATTGAGAAAGAAAGCATATACATGTAAAAATGGCAAAGGTACTTTATACCTAAGTGATTGCTGTGGTTTTGAGGGAGGGAAAGCTTACCATAACCGTAAAGATGATGTAGATAAGAGAAATCTTGAATTTGCATGGACGTGGGGAATCTGTACTACATACATTAGTGAGAAGGAAAGAAAGGACTTGGTCTAAATGAAAAGGGTGGGAATTGAGGAGCTGGAGCACACAGCTGGTAATGGCTGTGAAATGTTAAGGCTTTGACATCTTTATCCAGGGTTTGGTAAATTGACTAAGTTAAGTGAATAGTGTAGTTACTGAGAAAATAAACTTTTAGACATTTTGCTTCTCTGTAAAATCTGAACTCCATTAAAAATGAAGCAAATTTGAATTAGAAGCATCATGGCACTGTAGAAAAAGAAAAGTTATTCTCTTTTAGCTTTACATTTGATGTATAAGGCCCTTGTCATAGGGTAGCTTGAAGATTAGAAATTATGTATGTATGGTACCAAAAATATAGTAGTTGGTCACTAGATAGCATTGTAGCACTTACATCCCTATTCTCAAGAATAAGTCATAGTCTTCTGGAAACCATGTGATGATGAGTTATTGGTTTTGCTCATAGAACAATAATATTTTCAAATTAGGTCACCTCCACCTGTGGACATAGTATCTGCTTACTTCCTATGGAAACCGTTTGCCTGTTTTGTTCACTTTTGTCTTCCTGATGCCTGGTGGTGTGCCTGATTTACACCACTTTAGTAAATGCTTAAAGAATTAAATGATTACAAGTATTATTTCTGATAATGGTACATGTCATAGGAAATGCAAAATCTCAGTACTTGAACTTACTAATCTTCTGTGGTTACACATCAACAGTATGCTGACTGAGCTCATTTTTGGTAACAGAACACAATGATATATTTCATTGCATTTAGCATTATTAAATATTGTTTTCAGCTTGCCTGATCATGACTTGAATACCATATGTTATTATGCAGGATGTGACTTCTTTACATTTTCATTTTACTTTGCAAAAGATAGAATTTTTGTGAAACTATTTGAAGTTTTTAAAGAAGTTAAAAAAGAAATCGGATGCCTCATTTTGTTTCCCTCTTCAGTTTACCCATATTAACATTGTTTTTATTTGGTTACTCTGACAAGGGAGAAGATGTCAACCGGACACTAGAAGGTGGAAGGAAGCCTCTTCATTATGCAGCAGACTGTGGACAGCTTGAAATCTTGGAATTTCTGCTGCTGAAAGGAGCAGATATTAATGTATGTATTAGATATACATTAATACTTAATGGTATATGTATAATATGTGTCATTTTAGGAAAAATCTGTCGTATGCTTGGAGGAATTTTTTGAAATAGCTACGTTAAATAATATAGTCCTATACAAACCATTCTTTTTTAAGTTAATGAACTGTTTGCTGTCTCCCCCCTTTGGCTGTTGCTTTTCAAGTTTGAAAGCTTGGCGAGTTACCGCTGTAGGTACTAGATGCTGTCTGCCATTCGATGGAGCATAGGTCCCTGGAGGGCTAGGCTACACTAGCCTGGTCCATGGGATAAGTGTGAGAAAGTCATCAGGCAGGAGTTGTTGTCTCCTGACTGGAGCCCTCTGTGATTTTAGGATATTAGGAATTGTTTTGGTGATCATAGTAGTGAAAGAGATAGATTTTCACCATGTCAGTTGTCCTAATTCGGCTGTCTTCTCTTGCTTCCCCGTTGGCGTTTTTACCCACCCACCCCCTTTCCTTTCTGAGCCACACTGGCATTTCTACAATAGTGGGAAAGCTAGGTTCAGAGAAACTAGTCACATCATGGGCAATTAAGAGTAGAGCTTAGGTGAGATTTCCTCTCCACACTGATTCCCAATGAAAAGAAAGACACTATGTGTGTGCTTGGGCTCTTTTTTAAGTGACTAGAAAACTTCTCTCTGGATTTATTTTTATACAGAAAGGAAAATGGGTATTAATTGTGAAACAGTATAAGAATTCCCTAATTAGATATAGGAAGGTTTAAAAAAAAAGTAGATAAAATTTTTTTTCTTTGATGTCTGTAGGCTCCAGATAAACATCATATTACCCCTCTTCTGTCTGCTGTCTATGAGGGTCATGTTTCCTGTGTGAAATTGCTTCTGTCAAAGGTAAGGTCAATGTTCATTTTTATCGATTTCTTTAAAACTCTACTTTGGAACAGAAATTGAGATCTAGAACAGTGTTATAATTGCTGGCTACATACTGTTTGCTTCCTGTCTGTGGTGGTTAAAGTCCTTGGCCTAGTTTCCTTCATAAGAAAACCTTGTTAAGTAAAAGAAGTCAGCTAAAGTAAGCAAGCATTAATGGCATAAAAAAATGTCATGATGAATGATGGTCCAGGGTGTTAGAGCACACTATAAATAACAGGGTTTTGAAATTTTACACTTTATTGTCTGTAGTCGACACAGAAAGAGTATCAGAAGTGTTACACTATGACGACTCTCTAGTTTGTTGATATGACTGAGACAGTGGTAAGTCCGGGAGTTTTCTGTTTTCATTTTTGTTAATACATGATAGAGTACAGGATCCAGCCTTAGCAGTAGCCAATTACTAGCAACATTCTAGCTGTGTTATAGTCTATAAGGGAAGAAATCCCTATAGAATAAGTCACCAAGCTTGTATTTGATGACCAAACACTGATTGAAGAGTGGTGCTTGGCTCATTTCCATTCGATCTTAGAGTACAGCCTGCTAAAAGAAAGCAGCAAGGAAAAAGAAAAAGAAACTAAATTAATAAATGTGTCAAGCTCCTGACACAAAATATTTATGTAATCATAATCAGTAAAGAGTAGTTTTTGTTGTAACGAAGACTGAAGGTGGGCTTTGTGCTTTGTTGCTCGAGTTTCAATACAACAGAGAGAGAACTAGGGAAGATGAATGCTTTTGTCTTAACACTTACTCACTACCTCCTTAGAGCAAGCTCTACAGCGGGTCCTGTAACACTGGTGTTGAATTCTACTCTTAGGTTCATATCCAACAATAATGAGGTATCTGTAAATGTGTGGTTTTCATTCTTTTATAATAATTTCAATGTGTTCTTTCTTCAGCCATTTCGTGAACTATAGATAGAACTTTTTTCTTTCTGATAGTTTTCTTAGCCAATCTTTTGGTTTTTGTTTTTTAAATCAATTGTACTCCATCAGAAATTCTTTATTGCTAAAACAGGGCTATTCCAATGTAAAAGATGCAGTCAGTATTTATATTAATTCTAGGACTGCCGTCCACCAAAGCTAGAATCCTTATAGTTTCTGCAATCATTCACATTTCTCATTTCTTATGCACTATTATACTGTTAGCATAATATAAAATAATAAGCAGCAATTTAGAAACAGTATGGTCACAGAAAATAGGACATAGAAACAAAGAAAATTGCTAGACTCAGAACTGTGTGTGTCAAGTGATAATTTACTCACAAATCAAATACCACCAGCATCATCTCTTTTTATGGACAAAGAGACCATTTGTTTCAAGGAGAGCTAACTGCCTGAAGGCCTAACAAAATTTAATGGATTCAAAAATCTGTCCCAAGATGTAGGTTTAACAGTCTGTGTTCTCTCTACCACTTAAAAATGCCTTTAGAAATTAATCAGAGCAGTTGCGAGGCATGGAACATGCCCATATCTATAGATAGATAGACATGCAGACTGAGGTTTAATTGCTGAGCTGACAAATTAGAAAAATGCAGAGATATCAGACTTCCATTTGAAACTGAGGTCTAACCACATGCCCTTGCCTCCTGGTTTGGGGTGTTGGTTTTGTTGTTTTTGCTGTTTGCTTGCTTGCTTTATTCTTTGTTTTTTTGTTTGGTTCTTTTTGTTTTTGGTTTGGTTTGGGGTTGGATTTGTTTTTGTTTTGTTTTGTTTCCCCTTATTTTGTGGGGTGTGTGTGAACCAATGCTTTGTAATGGATCATACAAAAAGATTCATTAGACGTTAGATAAGAAATGGTATTGAACCCTGAAAACATAGAAAGCAAAGAGGGTAGAGTCAAAGAAAACATTTTCAACTGTATTCTAGATAGGACCTTTACAAAAGGTAGGCAGTGATCCAAGGATACTCCAAACCCAAAGTTAGTTGGTACCCTGAGCAACTGGAGTAGAAGTTGGATTTGCTTCAGGAAGAAGCACGGTGCAAGAAAGAAAAGTTAGGCTATCGATCGATAAATCTAAGTAGATCTTAAAATTCAAAATGAATGTTAGCTAAGATCAGAGAATTGGTTAAGTGAGTGTGTGATTATTGACACCCATGAGAGAAGAATGGTGACTAATAACACAGTATCAAGTGAGTATAAGGGCCATGTTCACTTTGCTCCAGCCTGTTTTTATCAGAGCAAAAACAGACTGTGTTATCATGGGTCACTTAGAATTGTAATTAGCTCAGTTGAATAAAGTTCCCCTTTTTGCCCTAAAAAGTCTTTATCAGGAAATTCTTTGAAATGTAAGCACTGCATATCAGTACTATAAAAATATAGGCCAGGCTCCTGTAATCTCAGTACTTGGGTAGTAGAAGCAGGGTATCGAGCTCAAGACTAGCCTCGGCTACATAATACCCTAACAAGGATGGATACCATGGGGGGGGGGGGATACCACATGTTCTGTGCCTGTGCAAACCATGTGGTCTTAGTCATAATTTTGCTATAGCAGCTCCGTATATTTCATCATTGAGTGGGAAATGTCATTTACAAAAACAAGTACTTAGACTGTAGTTTGCTGTTTAGCTCCCACTGTAGCTCACAAGTGCTTTGTATTTTATAGTAAGTATCATTTTAAAGTCTTAACTTTGAATGGCAAGATGGTTCTTCTATAGTTGAATGTGTGTCATTTTGGAAATGTAGCACCTACTGTTGTTGAAAACAAATATAGTCATTGAGTTCATAAACACTGATCTGGATCTTCATGGTTCCTTACTGAACTCTTCGGATTCATATTTCAAATGTCAAAGTAATAGCATGAGTACATTATTTGAAGAGGGTTGATGGTAAAACCATATTTTTTAAACTATTTTTAGCAAATGGGCTTTTATAAGCCCAAAACTCCCTTATTTTCAAGTTACATATAGTGTGATGTTACTTAGAAGGTTAAAAATACCCCAAGAGAAATATTAGTTTGCCTGTAGCAGCTTTACAATGTCATGCTGAACAGTTCTTACATTATTTACCAGATAATAAATTTTCTACAGTATTACTTTTTAAAAATCCCTTATAATTTATATAATTTCTTATAGTTTATATAAGTGATAATAAAGGATTTTTTAAGTAGTCTAGTATCCTTGTTCTTTAATCCTAAGGGGGGGACGGGAATCTGTTAGTATATGGTGTCATGAAAAAGACCCTTAATCTACTACCCTAAAAATACCCTCCTTCTATTACCCATCACTTTGAAATGTTACTTTTGTGTGATAAACTGATAGCCAGCAGACTCCATGGCTTATGTGGTACGCACTGCTGTTAAAAATGATAGGAGCTAAGGCACGATGGCTCATCCCCGTAATCCTAATACTCAGGACACAAGACAGGGAGACCTGAGGCCAGCCTGGGCTATGGATCAAGACTGTCCCAAACAGCCCAAACAAACAAGTAAGGTAGGAATAGGAATTCCTTTACATAGACATGCCACATCCCAGTAACGTAAGTTTCAAAGCAGTATATTCTTACTGTATCTTAGGTTATAAAAAGCAGACAGCATATTTAACTTGTTTTTATAAACCATTTCTGTTAACTAATTATATTTAGCATTTTGAAGGGTTTATCTTCCAGGAAGACATTCAAAAGAAACTTTGTTTCCCTTTCTTTGCATCATACTCTGAGAAAGAACTTGCCTCCTTAAGAAGTCTACTTGAAAAGAGAAGTGGGGCACATAACCCATTGTGCAGCTCTAATTTTAGTGATTCATGGCTATTTTGGATCACTCTGTAAGATGTTTCTCTTCATTTGTTAAGATTTAAAACAAAAAAAAAAAAGGTCTGCTAAGAAAAGAGAAACATGTCTGTTAGCAAGAACTTGTTGTTACTGTTGTTTAGATTAGCTTACAAATGTAGTGGTCTCCATATGGTGTTTTCTTATGTACTTGTTTTAGTTGACCCTCTCCCCTACCCTCTTCCCTTCCTCTCCATGTTCCTTGTCCCCACTTACTCCCTCCCCACCAGCCTTCTCTGCCTCCACTCTCTATCACCTGTGTTCTGCTATTCTCCTCAGCCCTGTTTCCTTATAGTCCCTTGTTTCTGTCTGTGTCCTTTGTAGTTTCTGGGCCTCTGTACATACTCACTCCCACATAAATACAACAACAGAAAATTGTGAGCCAGGATCCACATTAGAGGGAGAACATTTCCTGTTTGTCTTTTCTCAGAATTGGTTCCCTCCATGTACGATTTTACAGTTCCAGCTCTTGATGTTTTTAACAAACAGGTTCTTTGATTTTTTTTTTATTTTTTTAATTTTGAGCAAGCAGTCTCTTGAATGTGAAACTTAGGTCCATTTCAAGTCCCTCACAGTTTAGTCACCAGTCAAGTACCTGGTATATATTGTGTCGTGAACTGAGAATTAGATACTGTAAGAAGGAAGGGGCTTGAAATCTACCCTTGAAGCATAAGCAAATAGGTGAACCAAAAGGCAGAGCCATTTTTATTCAAATTATTCACTAACTCAAGCCCACGTTTGGTGATTATAAAACCTAAAAGCTACTGTATAGGTGGATAAATTTAGTTTCTTTTAAGTGGATAAGTTTAGTTTCAATAATTTTAGGGCCACTGACTCTCAAAGAATCCAACGTTCCCTTCTCAATTGCCTTATTTTAAGACGAGATTGTACCATAAAGAGACTAGCAACCATTTACCCAGTAATTAACTGAAGAATTCTTACACTAGGTTTATAAATCTCATATACAAATGAGCCATTGTAAGTTCATTATTTTCATCCAGTCAGTTCTTTCAAGCTGGAGTACATCATTATTTTGGTTGGTTTCTGCTGGTAACAGGTACTGTGTGTGTTATAGCACGTATTTCTTCTCACTTTTACTTCTCAGTATATCTGGTTTGAGCACATTCTTTAACATCTCATCATAAGCCTACTCTTTTGTAGCATAGGTCCAGTCCATAAGAGGATAGAATAGCTCA